TGATGACATAACCACTATACCATCTGCTGGCCCCGAGTAGCTTATATTCTTAGAAGCAGTATTTCACCCACAGTCTCATTTGAGTCTCAACACGGATCTGTATAGTCTGAAGGCTGGTATCTGTGTTTCTTTTCGATAAATGAAATGAAGGGCTAGCAGGTGGCATGGAGTTTTAGGTGGCTCGATCCCACATGACCATCTGCACTATTTGAGCCACCAGTCCTGGAAGATTGAAAATCACACTGGGCACATGTGCATGTGCACCTAAAATCCATAGAGGAGAATGGGGAAGAAGGGGTTGTGGCTTGGCCATCCCCACCAGGAGGTGATTTCTCACTTTCCCTCTCTGTCTCAGGCAAATTCAGGTACTCCACAGCAAAAATTTTTAAAAATTAAAAAACAGAAATAAAAGAGAAGAAATGAAACCCAGAAAGTTTAGGTCACGTTCACAATGTCATATAGCTAATAACCAAGGGGGAAAAAAATAACGCAGGAATTCTAATTTCTGTCTTGGGGTCCTTTCTGTTGACCAAATAGGAATGGCAAAGTAAGTGCTTGTAATAGGCTGAATGGTGGTCCTAAAGCTGTCTACATCCTAGTGCCCAGAACCTGTAACTCCTTATATGGCAAAAACTATAATAAAAAGTTTTCTAGGGGCCAGCAGATCCCATAGCAGTTATGTTGCTGGATCTTGACATGACTGACCACGGCTCGAGTCCTGGAGGACCTGGTGGCTTGAAACTCATGCTGGCCACAATGTAGAATGGAGGAGAAGGGACTCCAGTATGGCCATTCCCCCTCAGGGGTGATTTCTCACTTTGTCTTCCTGTGTGTCTGTCTCTCTCTCCCCCCACCTTGTCCTCCACAAGCACACATGCCCTAAAGCAAAAACCTCTTAAAAAAAAAAAGGACAAACTTTTTAGGAAAATGAGAAAATTATCATATGAAAAAGATTACACCTTCTCAGAGTTGCAGACTTTTCAAAGAGTTATAGTTCATTTCATAGGATATATTACCAGTTGGTCAAATACAGGTTTGTTTTTTTTTTTAAAGGATTCTACCACAGGGCATGAGCACTTGTCAGAGCAAAAATGAGAAATCACCCCCTCTACCCTGGGGGATGACTTGCTGCAATCCCTTCTCCATCCTCCTCTTAGAATTTTGATCATGTATGCACATGTATCTGGCGTGATGTTTCAAGCTAACAGGTCTGGGATTCAGACTGTGGTCAGCCATGTGAGAGTTCAGTGGCCTAATGACCATGCCACTTGCTGACCCAAATCCAGATATCTTAAGGGAATCCTTGGTATATAATACTTTCAACAACAGTTTATTACAATTTTTTTTTTTTTTTTTTTGAGAGGGAGAGAAATTTTTGCTATAGGTTGTGTGCACTCTCCAGAGAGATACAGAAAATGAGAAATCACCCCCTGGGTGTGATAGCAATACTGCAATTCCTTCTCTTCCATTCTCCTTTTGGGATTTGGGGCACCCACAAGTTGTCAGCCTGAGTTTCAAGCTGCCAGGTCTGGCAATAGGCCATGTGGGTGTCCAGTGCCTTAACCACGGCTCAAATTAAATGCATTATAACATGGATCTTACTAGGAAGGAAAGATGGATTTGTGAATGTTTGCAGTTATAATTTTGAACTTTATCTTTGTATAATAGTGTTTGTTCTTATTAGGGGAGAAGAAGAAACTTCCTCCTATCTCCCTGAGACTTTTGTTTTCTTTCTTTCTCTGCTAGTAGTTAGGAATCTGTAGTTTCATAACAAAACACTAAATCTCCATTGGATATCAATGGTACTACACAGCAAGGCTGAGAATACTAAGCATTTTGCTTCTTTTAGCCTCCACATTTCACAAAATAGGAAGGTAACTTTTTCAGCATCTGCAAAGGTGATGTTTCCAAGTATAATACACTGGACTATGGAAATGAGACAGGTAGGACTCGCTGACTGGTAGACTCAGGTTTTCGGACTTGGCTGGTTCTTAGGGCTCGCTGTTAGTCACAGTACCTCTTTCCCATAGATACCTCCCAATAACAGGCTTACCCCCTTCCATTTCACGTCCATAAGGATTTGAGTTTCATTGGCCAGGCTTCAGTCTATCTCTGAACCCCCTGAGGCCTGCCATTTCGGCTCTTTCTGGGTCACACAGTAAAATTGCCTCATTATGGGCTTGAGACTGAGTAGGGATGCAGTTCTTTAAAGAAAATTCAGGTGCTATGGCCAAAAGAAGGGAAAAGTAGGTATTACCAAAACTACTGGGTTATGGATAGATTTTCTTATCTGCATTTAGTATCCATGGAGAAGCCTTCCAACTGAGTGCTTTAAGCTGAGTGTTAACTATGGTCACTTCATAGACTGTATTTTAAAAATGAATTCTAGGGGGAACAGCAGTTAGCATAATGGCTATGTCATTGGACTCCCACATAGTCGACCGCGGTTCGCATCCCGGGCCCGGTGGCTTAAACTCACGCCGGGCGCATGTGCATGCGTGCCCAAGATTCTGAGAGGAGAATGGAGGAGAAGGGATTGCGGTTTGGCTAGCCTCCCTGGGGGGTGATTTCTTGCTTTCTATCTCTCTGTCTCTGTCTGTCTGGTGAGCACATGCATCCTATAGCAAAAACCTCTCCAAAAAAGGAAAAAAAAAAAAGAATTCTAGGGACCAGCAGTTGGCATAATGGCTATGTTGCTGGACTCCCATGTAGTCGACCGCTATTTGAGTCTCGGACTCGGGGGCTTAAACTCACGCTGGGCATGTGTGCATGCGTGCCCAAGATCCTGAGAGGAGAAGGGAGAAGGGATTGTGGCATGGCCATCTCCCGTTGGGGGTGATTTCTCGCTTTCTGTCTCTCTGTCTGGCGAGTGCACGCACCCTATAGTGAAAACTTCTCAAAAAAAAAAACGAATTCTAAGAAATCAGTATTTTTAATGTTTATGTATGAAAGTATACCTAATGACTAGGTAAAGTTTTCATTCTTAGATTTTCCTTTGGTTCCACTACGTTGTTATACACTATTAATTCCAATCCTAGATCTCTTCATAATGATTCTGTGCTGTAGTTTCCTCATCTTCAAAATAGGGATAACATGGTAATTTAAAAGGTTATATGTGGGGTCCAGCAGGTGACATGGTGGTGAAGGTACTGGACTCCTATGTGGCTGACCACAGTTTGAGTCACAGACCCGGCGATTTGAAAATTATACTGGGCACTTGTGCATGTATATGTGCCCCAAATCTCTGAAGGTGAAGGGCTTTTAGTGTGGCTACCCTCTCTGGGGTTGGGTGATTTCTCTCTTTCTTTTCCTCTTTCTCCCTCCAATGAGCTTACTGACTCTATGACAAAAACCTAAAAACAAAAAAAGTTACATGGGGGCCAGCAGGTGATATCTTGACTATGTCACTGGATTCTCACATGGCTAACCACAGTTCACATCCTGGACCTGGTGGCTTGAAAATCATCCTTGGTGCCCATACGTGTGTGCCCAAGATCCTAGGAGGAGAATGGAAAAGGGATTGTGGCATGGCTATCTTCCCTGGGGGAGTTATTTTTCACTTTCCCTCTCTGTCTTTTTCTGTCTATCTGTCTCTCTCTCTCTCCAGCGAAGCACACATGCCCTATGGCAAAAACCTCTTTAAAAAAAAGAAAGTTATAGGGACCAGCAGATGGCATTAGGGTTACATTGCTGGACTCCCACAGTCGACCGTGGTTCAAGTCCGGACTCAGTGGCTTAAAACTCACACCAGGCATGAGTGTGTGAATATATGCCCAAAATCTTGAGAGGTGAACAGAGGAAAAGGGATTGTGGCATGGCCATCCCCTTTTGGGGGTGATTTCTCACTTTCTGTTTCTCTCTCTAGCAAGAGTACACACTGTATAGCAAAAAATCTTATATACATATATATGTATATATACACACACACACACACACATACTTTCTTTAAAAAAAAAAAAAGGTTTATGGGTAGGGATGAAATTCTTTGTAATTTTTTTTTCTCCAGAGGCTATGTAGACTATGTGGTTTCCAGACCACAGTCAGAGAGGGAGAAGGCATCTTTCATGGGATGTGGTCATCCAACAATCTTTTCTTCACTATATTGGGATTGGGGGCTCAAGCGCACATATGCCTGACATGTTTAAGTTTTTTTTTTTTTTCCTAATGGTTTCACTTCTTTTGGTAAAAGTATCAAACCTCTAATACCAGAAGAGTACGGCGATAGCTTAGGGACCCAGACGAATGAATGAACACAAAAGTCTCTCCCCAAAGGAGTTGAATTGAGTGGGGAAGTGAAAACATAAATGCTAAGCACATTTGATACAGCTGTGATGGTGAAGTGGCAACAAGGTTCTGCGCGGTGCCGAGGCCGTGCCCCGGGTCTCTGAGTACACGCCAGCCTGCATGTTTCTGTAATGCTGGTTGGTCAAGACTGGAGTTGCCTGCCTGCCTGTCTCTGTCTTATGGATGAAATGGACAAATTTATTTAAACACACACACACACACACACACCTACACACCTACACATTTGATAATACAAAGGCCAGGAAGTTGTCAAAAATGCCAACTACACACACATAAACAAAATCTGTGTGAAATAAAAATTCGGGCTATGGGGCCAGCAGATGATGTAGTGGTTATGTCAGTGGACTCCTCCTACATGGCTAACTGCAGTTTGAGTCCCAGACCCGGTAGCTTGAAAATCACACCAGGCATGTGTGCATGTATGCCCAAGATCCTGGGAGGAGAATGGAGAAGGGATTGTGGCATGGCCATCTGCCCCTGGGGGGTGATTTTTACTTCTCCTTTCACTGTTTCTGTCTCTCTGTCTCTCTCTGGTGAGCACACATACCAAAGGGGAAAAAACTCTTAAACAAATTTTGGACTGTGTGAAAGCTTTTTTAGTCATTTTGGCATACACAATCAGCTTTATGGCTGAAAAGAACTATGAATTATAGTTACAGACTATAACATTTCTTTTTATTCTTTTTTTCCCCTAGTGTTTGAAAGATGTATGGTGATCCTGAAACCATGAGAAACCATGAGAAAACTTCTAGCAACTTCAGGGGACGTTTGTCTACACTCAGGCTACAGTATTTTGAGAAAACATGATTGGACAGTGGACCTGTGCCTTACCTTTAGGTGGAGTGAACAATGTGAGCCAGTGAAGCCAGTCCTTAACAAGCAGTTTGTCGCATACCTGGCTCCTTGCTGATTGCAAATAGGCATTTAAAATGTGAATTTGAAATCAGATGTGTCCATTATTTGCAGCATAGGTGTGTCCTAAGTTGTAAGTCCTGGATAAAAAATTACTCCACTAATGTTTACCATCTCCATCAGAAACTGTTATAGAAGCTTCATTTTTTGTATTCCCACTCTTCTGTTTCCTGCACAATCACGCTATCTTGTTAAGTAATTCAAGCATGAGGTCTTGGAATATTTAAATCACAAACTTAAGAAAAGGAATATAATAAAGCTAATATTTTCCCAGTCTCTTGGCCATCATAATATCTTACAGTTAAACACCTATTAAAATAATTTTTAAAACAGCCGAGGATAATTTAGGAGAAAAGGTGTGCCCTCCACAAAACTTACATAGTTAAAAAGTTTGTATCTTTTTCTCATCAGGTACCAATTGTAAATAGAAGAATTTACTAGGGGCCAAAATGCGAAACCAAAAATGAAGCAACTAAATGTAGTTAGTAATTTGTAGTTTGAACGGTAACTGAATATTATGGCTTCATATGTATTATTTTATATTGTACTTTTTGCATTATCAATGACTTAGCTAATAAGAGAAATTCCATAGTTTTTAATATCACAGAAATGAGACTGTTTGGACAGTGTATTCTTAGGAAGCAATATACTAACTGAACCGAAGTGAATGCTTGTACATATTAAAATAGCCTTCAACCTTCTTCTCTAATGCCTTAACTGTCAAATAATTACCTTAAAGAACCTAGGACTGTAGTCAGCATGCTAGACTGAGAGGTGAACACTGATGCGGGCAGGCCAGGTACCAACGCGGTCAGTGTTTGCACTGCGTGTTTAGCTGTGTTTATGCTACAAAGTGCAATATTAGATGCTAGCTAGAACTGCTGCCTCGTGTAACTCCGAAGAGGAAAACAGGATTCCACTAAGTGCACGCATCTTTTTAAGTCACTCATACTGTCCTTTGCTTGAATTCATTGCCGTGCAGGTTTATGTGGCTGCTATTTTTATTTCCTTCGCATTACTTTGATTACCACCTTGAATGGAGAGCCAAACGTTTCCCTCTTTAGCTGACCAGCCATGGCCCTTTCACTGCAGTAAGAAAACAAACGTTTCATGTGCGAATTGGTGATAACTGGCACTTAAGATCAGAAACAAAGTTCTTTATACTTGATGCCTTAAGATGCTGTCTGCCCACAGCTCTGAGAGACTAAGATAGGCGTAAGACTTACTACAATACTACTGAGTTTTTGTAGAATTGTTACATTTGATAATAAAACTTTGCCTGTTTAATCTCAATCTTTGCATTCTTTTTTTCTTATGAGAAAAATTCATGGTAATGGTGGAAGGGTATAGATAAGCCAACTTTTCCTAAGGTGGTAGGCTTTTCTCTAAGCTTACCATGAATATTTATAAAAAGCTACCAATGGGGGCTGGCAGGTGGCCTGGTGGTTAAGGTGTTGGACTCCAACAAGGCTGGTCATGATTTGGAGTCCTGGACCTGGCAGGACTAAATAATAAATAAGAATTATTATTTATTTTTACTCTTTTATCCTTTTTAAACATTTTGTTATAGGATACATGCACTTACCAGAGGGAGACGAAGAGAGAGGAAAAGTGAGAAAGCAAGCCACCAGGTCTGGGACTTGAACCATGTTTGGACACTTTGGACAGTGTATTCTTAGGAAGCAATATACTAACTGAACCGAAGTGAATGCTTGTACATATTAAAATAGCCTTCAACCTTCTTCTCTAATGCCTTAACTGTCAAATAATTACCTTAAAGAACCTAGGACTGTAGTCAGCATGCTAGACTGAGAGGTGAACACTGATGCGGGCAGGCCAGGTACCAACGCGGTCAGTGTTTGCACTGCGTGTTTAGCTGTGTTTATGCTACAAAGTGCAATATTAGATGCTAGCTAGAACTGCTGCCTCGTGTAACTCCGAAGAGGAAAACAGGATTCCACTAAGTGCACGCATCTTTTTAAGTCACTCATACTGTCCTTTGCTTGAATTCATTGCCGTGCAGGTTTATGTGGCTGCTATTTTTATTTCCTTCGCATTACTTTGATTACCACCTTGAATGGAGAGCCAAACGTTTCCCTCTTTAGCTGACCAGCCATGGCCCTTTCACTGCAGTAAGAAAACAAACGTTTCATGTGCGAATTGGTGATAACTGGCACTTAAGATCAGAAACAAAGTTCTTTATACTTGATGCCTTAAGATGCTGTCTGCCCACAGCTCTGAGAGACTAAGATAGGCGTAAGACTTACTACAATACTACTGAGTTTTTGTAGAATTGTTACATTTGATAATAAAACTTTGCCTGTTTAATCTCAATCTTTGCATTCTTTTTTTCTTATGAGAAAAATTCATGGTAATGGTGGAAGGGTATAGATAAGCCAACTTTTCCTAAGGTGGTAGGCTTTTCTCTAAGCTTACCATGAATATTTATAAAAAGCTACCAATGGGGGCTGGCAGGTGGCCTGGTGGTTAAGGTGTTGGACTCCAACAAGGCTGGTCATGATTTGGAGTCCTGGACCTGGCAGGACTAAATAATAAATAAGAATTATTATTTATTTTTACTCTTTTATCCTTTTTAAACATTTTGTTATAGGATACATGCACTTACCAGAGGGAGACGAAGAGAGAGGAAAAGTGAGAAAGCAAGCCACCAGGTCTGGGACTTGAACCATGTTTGGACACGTGGGAGCCCAGTGCTTTAACCATCACTCTACTTGCTAGCCCCAGAACATTATTCTTTACATCCACTTCCTCGCTGTCCTGGCTATTGCTATCTCTCACCTGTGTTTTTTGTTTTTAAGAATTATTTCTTTACTTTTACTTATTATTTTTTAATTGGCTATAGAGGGGTACCGGTACCAGCAGGTGGTATAGTGGTTGGGGTGCTGGACTCCCACATGGCTGACCACAGTTCAAGTCCTGGACCTGGCGGTTTACTTTCTCACGTTCCGTCTCTCTCTCCCTCTTTGGTCAAATTAAAATAAAGTTAAATAATTCTTTTAAAATTTTGCTATGGGATGGGAACCAGCAGTTAGCGTAATGGCTATGTCGCTGGACTCCCACATAGTCAACCGCGGTTCGTGTCCCGAACCCGGTGGCTTAAAACTCACGCCGGGCGCGTGTGCGTGCGTGCCCAAGATCCCGAGAGGAGAATGGAGGAGAAGGGACTGCGGCGTGACCATCCCCCCTGGGGGGTGATTTCTCGCTTTCTGTCTCTATGTCTCTCTCTGTCTGTCTGGCGAGCACACGTGCCCTACAGTGAAAATCTCTCCAAAAAAAAAAAAAATTTGCTATGGGGCACATGTATTCACCAGAGAGACAGAGAGGGGATGTGAGAAAGTAGCCACCACGTACTGGACTCAAACTGTACCTGGCCATGTAGAAGTCCAGGACCTTAACCACAGCACCACCTGCTGGCTCTCACCCAGTTGTTTTTTTTTTTCCCTCCACATTGCTTTCCCTGCATCAAATTTTGCTCCCTTCTATTACCATAAATGTTTGGGGTTTTTTTAAGATTTTTTTAAAAATTTGCTACAAGTCATGTGCACCCCCCGCAAAGAAAGAGGGAGGGAAAGTGAGAAAGCAAGGCTCCAGGTCCAGGACTCGAACTACCGTCAGCCATGTGGGAGTTCAGTACCTCAACTACCACAGCTTCTTTTTATTTTTGTTTACAAATGGCCTTTTAAAAAATTATTTTATTTAACTTTATTCATTTATTCATTTTTATGTATTTTAATTTGACCAGAGAGAGAGACAGAGCAAAAGCTGTCAGGTTCGGAACTTGAACCGTGGTCGGCTATGTGGGAGTCCAGCACCCTTAATCACTACACCACCTGCTGGCCCCTCATAAATGTTCTTTTAAAGAAAGAACACTCGGGGAACCAGCAGATGGTGTAATGATGACATCGCTGGACTCTCATGTAGTCGACTGTATTTTGAGTCCTGGACCTCGTACCTTGAAACTCATGCCAGGCACGTGTATGTGTGCCTAAAATCCCAAGAGGTGAATGGAGGATAAGGGATTGCAGCGTGGTTATCCTTTCTAGAGGGTGATTTCTCACTTTTTCTCTCTGTCTCTCCAGTGAGTTCACACCCCCTATAGGAAGAATCTCTCTTAATAAATAAGAACACTCAGAGAACCAGCAGATGGTGTAATGATTATGTCACTGAACTCCCACATGGCTGACCACTGTTTGAATCCTGGACCAGGAGGCTTCAAGCAGGCTAGGTTCATGTGTATGTGTGGGTGCCCAAAATTCCAAGAAGAGAATGGAGAAGAAGGGATTGCTGAGGCATGGGGTGTGATTTCTTGCTTTCTATATGTCTCTGGAGAGCGCATGCACCCTACAGCAAAAATCTCTATTTAAAAAAAAAAAGAAGAAAAGAACACTTGGGGCCAGCAGGTAGTATGGTGGTTAAGGAGCTGGACTCTGTCATGTCCAACCATGGTTCGTGTCCCAGACCTGCAGCTTGCTTTCTCACTTTCCCCCTCTAGCAGTCTCTGGTGAGCACATGTGCCCTGTAGGGAATTTTTAAAAAAAGAAAAAGAAAAAAATTTAAAATAATTCTTAAAAAAATACAAAAACAGGTAGCATGGTGGTTAAGGCACTGGAGTCCCACATGACTGGCTAGTTTGAGTCCCTGACCCAGTGACTTGAAACAAGCCAGGCATGTGTGTGTGTGCTCAGAATCCTGGGAGGAGACCAGAGGAGAGGGGATTGCAGCATGGCCGTTTCTGTCTGTGTCTCTCCAGCAAGTGCATGCACCCTATAGCAAAAATCTCTTAGAACAAAACAAAACAGAAACATTCTTGGGGCAGCAGGTGGCATGGTGGTTAAGGTGTTGTAGTCCTACATAGCAGACTGTGGTTCCAGTCCTGGACCCAGTGGCTTGAAAATCATACTGGGCATGTACATGTGTGTGCACAAAATCCCTAGAGGAGAATGGAGGAGAAGAGAGGTGGTGGTGGGGGGGGTGATTTCTCACTTACCTTCTCACTCTCCCTCTGTGGTGAGTGCACATGCCCTATGACAAAAAAAAAAAAAAAAAAGAAAAGAAAAGAAACCACTCTTTTAAAGACACAGAACTGATACCATGTTTTTAAAATCCTTTAATAGCTTTCCATTTGCTATGGGAAAAAGTCCATACTTTCATTTTTTTGTTACTATTATTATTTTTAATTTGACCCGAGAGAGACAAAAAGAGAAAGTGAGGCAACAAGCCACCAGATCAGGGACTCGAACCACAGTCGGCCATGTGGGAGTCTAGTGCGCCTACCACCATGCCACCTGTTGGCTCCAAAATTCTTGTGATCTGCATGATAATACTTGAGCTAATTCCTGTCTTCTTCATTAGGCTTTTTGCATGGCACTTTCCCCCTTATGCTGCATGGTTCGTTAAACTTCTTTCCAATTCTTTGCAGGTATGATGCCATTCAGTATGGCTCCTTGGCCCAAAACACCTTTTATCTGCTGTCCCTCTCACTTTTATCTAAAGAAGGCCTTTTCTGACTCGGAGTAAGATCTCCCTGCAGTGACCCACTGTATTTCTTGTTTCCTGGTATAGCCTTTGTGATGAGTCAGTGCCCAAGGTGTATAAAAGAAACAGTTATTCAATGAATACATGTATGCTCATTCCTGCAGATTAAAAGTAGTGTGATTCTGGGACCAGCAGGTGGCGGTGGTTCAGGTGTTGGAATCCCACATGGCTAGCCATGGTTCAAGTTCTGGACATAGTGGATTGCTTTCTCACTTTCCTTCTCTCTCTGGTCAAATGAAAATAATAAATCTTTATTTTTAAAAGGAATATGATTCTATAAGTTTTTTTTAAAGAGAGATTTTTGCCAGTTTTTTGTTTTTGTTTGTTTTGTTGTTGTTTAAAGAGAGATTTTTTGCTATCGGGTAATACGCTCGCTGGAGAGACAGAGAAATCACCCTCCAGGGAGGATGGCCACGTCACAAGCCCTTCTCCTTCATTCTTCTCTTTTCATTTTGGGCATGCACACACACACATACACACACACACACGTATGTGCCTGGCATGTTTCAAGCCACCAGGTCTAGGAATTGAGCCTTGGCAACTATGTGAATGTCCAGTGCCTTAACCACTGTGCTACCTGCCAGCCCCAGCTCCACAATTTTTAAAAATATTAGTATTAATAGACACAGGAATAGGGCTGGCAGGTGGCATGGTGGTGTGGGTTTGGGTCTTGAACCTGGCGGTTTGCTTTCTTTCCCT